GTAACAGTTCCAATTATAAAGTACTTAGGTATAACTCTTCGTAATTGTGAAGATTGAGAGAAAAAAAAAAGAAAAAGAAAACAGAAACTACTTCAGGATATATGTTAGAATTAGATGCCAGATTTGGCCATGGGATAATTATGAGAAACTCATTGTTCATTCCTATAATAAGGCAGTGTTTATTTTTTGCTAACATGCTAGTAAATGTAAATGGTACTATGTTGCTTGACATTAGTAATGGCGTTTTATTATAAATCTGAATATGAGTTGCGGAATTTAATTCTTTTCTATCAGGTTTTTCAAAATAAGAAGAATCTTGATTTTATGTATTTTTTTGGAAGATAATTCACTGGGAAAGGCATCATATAATATCTCTATAGTAAAAAAATTCCAGGTAAATAATTTAATTATCTAATAACTTGCACTTATCAGAGAATTCATCAATTTAATATGTATTAACATAATAAACTTAATTTCTCATTTAATTACTGTCCAAATAGTACTAATTAATGTTGTAGCTATATACATATTTATATATTTATAGTGCTTATGTAATTATATGTGTATTGTGGTGAGCCGTGTTGTAGACCGTTGCCGCCATTAGAAGATGGCGCCGGTCTCCGCTGTGGATCTTGGTAAACAACTCCTTATTAGGGAGAGTTGGTGTGCTGTCCCTCAATACCCTATGAGAAAACCCCACGTGGCAGGCTTGGATTGGACTTGAGTAAGCTTTATTAGGCTATGCTTGGGCGCTCGGCGGGGGGTCACTAGAAGATGATACATGAAACAAGGCCTGAATAAACTGCTGAAAGAAGAATCCTGTGTCGTGTTTTCCCTTGCCGGCGAGGGGTCGCGACAATTGGTGGCCCGGACGGGGAATTATATTCCTCGAACCCAGGATCCAGAACTTTCAGCAGTCAGGGTGGTGCACCGGTAAGTTCCCAGGTAAAGTGGGAATCCGCAAGCAAATAGCGGGGCGCTCTCTCTGTAAATAGAGAGAGCGGGAAAAAGGACGCTCCCCTGTAAAAGGAAGAGAGCGGGGATTTTTGTACTTTCACTTTCTTTATAGCTCTAAAAACATTATGGGCGCTACCTCTTCAAGCCCAATTTTGTTGGCCCTAGATGGGTTGCTACGTTCAAAAGGACTTAAGGTAAAGCAGAGCACTTTGCAGATGTTTTTGAGAGAAGCTGCGGGGCCGCGGCCGCGGTCTGGGCATGAGGATGGCGGTGGGCTCAGTCAAGATGCAGCCGCCGTGCGAGAACCCAGCCCTGGCCGCGGCTGAAGGACCTGCCTGCACTGCTGCGGAGCGGGCTCACGCTGCGGAGAAAGCAGAGCGCCGCCGGGGGCCGGGACCGGACGGAGCCGGTGTGGGTTCCAGAACGCCTGACAAGAAGAGTCCCGACAAATACATCTGAGTTAAATATAACCACTTTGGCCATTACTTCCCAGGTGTTAATTCCGTTGTCTCCTTCTAATGAGACCTCTAATGCCACTCATTTTAAGGCTTCTCCTTATTGCACCCCTGAGTATGGCTTCCCTCCTATATTTACACCTTGTCAAGATCACTCTTGGGAGAAACATCAGGTCGCCAAAGGTTTTTCCCTTTCCCCCTCTCTCAAAAGGTACTTGTATAATTCTTCCAACAATAATTCCTCTATAGGAGCGGGTTGGTCCTGGTTTCAATGGTTGATTTCCAATGAAAAGGGGGCCACAGCCGATGTCTCTGCTCTGGCTCAATTGAGAGGAGTCCAGAGTTGGCTGTTTAATGTGTCTGGCTCTGTACAGGACACTGATAATGGTAGGAGGCTTAAAAACATTTCATACAATTCTCAGGTGTCCAATGCTACACTGCCCTCTGCAGCAGTCTGTCTTCATTCTCCGTTTCTGTTCCTTTTGATCAATGATACCAATACTACAGAATCGGATATGATTGACTGTTCTAATTGTACATGTGTCTTGTCTGAGTGTTGGAATGGATCCTGGAGCACGGCAATTGTTATGAAGGTCCTGACTTTCGTCCCGATTCCGGTTACTGCGGATCCGGACTCCTTCCCTATTATTGAGGTGCTCAGGAGCCGTAGGGATTTTGGAATCACGGCAGCTATTGTGACAGTGGTCGCCAGTGTCTGCTGCTGCAGCGGTCACTGCTGGAGTGGCCATGGCTAGTCAAGTGCAGACTGCGCCCACGGTTAATCAGGTCATCCAACAAACTTCCAGCATTTTAGAGTCTCAAAGTAAAATCAATCAACATATTTTATCAGGAATTTTGGCCGTTAATCAAACGGTGGATCTCCTCCAAGCTCAGATTGAGGAATTGTCAGACCTAGTACATTTGGGTTGTGTTGATCATCGTGCACATCTATGTATAACATCTCTCAGATTTAATGATTCCAGAAATACCTCTCAAATCATTGGACAGTACCTGGCCGGAAACTGGTCCATGGAAGCAGAGAAGTTGATCCAGACCCAACTGACACAAATTGCCATGTTGAACAACACTCGTGTGGACCCTGTGACATTGGGCCAATTTACGAATTGGCTGTCTTCTGCTTTTTCTTTCTTTAAGGAATGGGTGGGAGTAGGCATTTTTGGAGCGATGTGTTGTTTTGGGATTGTCCTTTGTCTGTGGCTTTTCTGTCGCCTAAGAGCTCGCCATAGCCAAGAAAAGGCTATGATCGTCCAGGCTTTTGCAGCCCTAGAGAATGGTATCTCTCCACAAGTTTGGCTTGCGCAACTTAAGCAATAATTTCCTGGGTTTTGGCCATTGCACCCCAAGTTATCTTTGACATTGCACTGGGATTGGCATGCCCTCCTCTTCCTGCTTTCCCAGTTATGGAAGGCCCATGCACTCTGCAGGCCTTGTTGCCATTGCACGCAGGTGGGCTTCCATGCTGGTGCTGCACTTTATGCTTTGGACCCTTTGTTTTCTCAAGGGCTGAGGGATGGTGTTGCCACTTCCAACCTCATAGTCACTGACCGGCTACTTGTAAAATCCCCTTTCTTTTTCACCGTCATCACGATGCAGGATGCGAGGCAAGGCACTGCACTTGAGTGATCCGATCTCCGGACCTCAAGGGAAGCATGTCCTATTGCATACGGGTTTGGCGTCCACGCCCCGTCCCACGAAAAAAGGCGTCGGCTGATATGGTGTCAGATCTAGGGAAGGCGCCTCCTTGGGACTGAGCCATACATTGCAGCCATGTTTGCACAGTGGGATAGGACCTCTACTTTCGCCTGCATTGTTTTTTAAGAGATAAGGGGGAACTGTGGTGAGCCGTGTTGTAGACCGTTGCCGCCATTAGAAGATGGCGCGGTCTCCGTTGTGGATCTTGGTAAACAACTCCTTATTTGGGAGAGTTGGTGTGCTGTCCCTCAATACCCTATGAGAAAACCCCACGTGGCAGGCTTGGATTGGACTTGAGTAAGCTTTATTAGGCTATGCTTGGGCGCTCGGCGGGGGGTCACTAGAAGATGATACATGAAACAAGGCCTGAATAAACTGCTGAAAGAAGAATCCTGTGTCGTGTTTTCCCTTGCTGGCGAGGGGTCGCGACAGTGTATAAAAAAATATTAGCTTATGAAATAGTGACACATAATATTCTAAAAAAATCAAAAAGACTAATCAAGACCTTTTTTTATATAAGAATATATAAAGGGGCTGGGGATGTGGCTCAAATGGTAGCGTGCTTGCCTGGCATACGCAGGGAGCTGGGTTCGATCCTCAGCACTACATAAAAATAAAATAAAGATGTGTTCAACGAAAAATAAAAAATAAATATTAAAAAAAAGGATATATAAAGAAAATTAAATTGTAATTTTGAGAAAGACAGTTTTAATATAAAGAGTGAAATCCTAATTTCAGAATACAAATTAACAAATATAAACAATTCTTAGAATGACAGTCTACTCTTGAAAAATGCACTCAAACTTTTAATTTCCTTACTATTCTCAAAATGATAGAATAGTGTAATTTTAGAGATGAAACAGACATTAGAATTTAATTCCAGATCTTGTTTTCACGGAAATTTAATTTTTGCCTCACTTTTTATGTTAGGAAACTCAACTTACTATGTGATTTAATAAAAAACATAAAAAGAAATTCAATATTCAACTCAAAACATTAAAGATTCATATTTTCTACATATGTTATTTATCTCTTAAATTTAGTTAACATATTCTCCAATAATTTTTAGGTGAATTTTGCTTATTTATGTTTACTTACAAAGAAAGTAACAGCTACCTTTCTGTGATTCCAACATAGAGCACAACCATTATGAATACTTTTGCCAACATTTTCATATTAATCATGCTCACAGGAAAAAAAATAAAATGTTGTAGCATTATAATAATACAATCTATTTAATCTTTTTTACTTTTATAGTATATTCACGAGGGTTTTTTAATTCAAAGGATAAACAGATTTCACAGTGCTCATGATTCCTGGTCCAGTCTAAACATAAAGATTAGTTTACATATTCTTTTTTTAAAAAAATTAATTTGTTGGGTAGGGTTGTGGCTCAGCAGTAGAGAGCTCGCCTAGCATGTGCAAGGCCTTGTGTTCAATCCTCAGCACCACATACAAATAAATAAATAAAATAAAGGTATGGGTCCAACTATAACTAAAAAGTAAATATTTTAAAAAAATTGTTTATTTGGTCTAATCAGTTATACATGACAGCAGAATGCCTTTCTATTCACAGTACACAAATGGAGCACAACTTTTTATGCCTCTAGTTATCACAAAATAGAGTCACACCATTTGTGTCATCACACATGTACCTAGGGTATGATATCTGTGGAGTCCACACATTCTTTTTATTTTTTTAGTTGTAAATGGACACGATACCTTTATTTTGTTTGTTTATTTTTTTATGTGGTGCTGAGGATCAAACCCAGTGCCTCACACATGTTAGGCTCTATCAATGAGTCACAACCCCAGCCCCAGAGTCTACATAGATTCTTAACTTAGCAAGCAGTGAGTGATGTGGAGTGGACTTACCATGGAAATCGTAAATGTAAAGAAGAAGGGGCTCATTCTGCCCAAATGCACAAAATGCAACCATATTTTCAAATGGATGGTAAGAAATGTCTCGAATAGGTGACTTGAATGGCAGATCAGAATACATTGCTACTTGTTCTCCTGAATTTAAAAAAAAAAAGGAAAAAAAAAGGAGATTCAATAATTTGTACTGTATGTGGTATTTCTTACTACAAGACTTATTATTCTGCAACTTATTAAAAATACTTATAATTCTAATGAAGCTCACATATTTCAGTGTATTTGAGTACCCTGTATTAAATAATATCTTTATTTTGCATTGTTGGTCCTTCTCTTTCCAATTCTCAATCCAACCTCTTCAATGAGCTTTTCAAGGCACAAAATAAACACAAAGTGATTAGAAGGAAGAATAGAGGTACATGGTTCTGAGGTCTGTCAGGGCTGAGCAAATGACAACTAACAAAGAATTCTGGGCAAAACTAGGGGAGGAATTATGAAACTCTAAAACTGAAGAAATTCTCTATTTTGAGGAGGACTGCTGAGGTATTAATTTTTTCTACTCTGTTTTTTACCTCTGTAGGCTCTTTGAGATATCCACTGCTTGATTATGGCTAAAATATGCTTAAAGCAGAATTGAAAAGAACCCAAGAAAATCAGCCAGAAGTAAAAAAACAAAGGATCTAGATCCATTTATTAAAGGAGACAGTTAATGCTTTTAAATTGAAGTTAAAACATGGTATATGGAAAAAAAAAATCCACAAGTATGCTGCCTCGTCAAATTAAGGATAAAGGAAAGAACCAAACAATGAGATGAAATCAAACACAGTTCATTAAAGGAATTTAAAAAATTCTCTCAATTTCTAGTTAAAGAAATGCTCAAGAAGTTTCAGATTTTCTTTTAGAAAGCCAAAGTAAGGCTAAATAAACTTTTCAAGGTAACAGTTTAATTTATTTAAAAATTTTAAATTAAAATTTAGGTAAATTGCTAATTTAGTTTCCAGCATCAAAAAATTACACAGGAGTCTTTTTGTTACTCTAAAGAATACAGAGGTGTTTAATCATCTATGTAGTTACAATTCAGCTTACATAATTTTGTATTTTGTACTACAGTCATTAAATATCTAAGAGCAGCATTATCTCATAGACAAGAAAAGAATAACCTTGAATTGTAAAGTGAAATTTTAAATCAAATAAAGATAATAAAACAATAAAGAACAGAATTTGAGATGTTCAGATTGTGGCTCAGCTCCATTAAAGGCTATTCAATCTAAAAAAAAAATTAAAAACTTGAAATCAGAATTTTTTCAAAAATTATTCCATAAAATGGTAGTATTTTTATACTTCTTCAGGCCCCAACCAATACCTCCCCCTTAAAAAAAGATTACTGAAGCTCAATAAATACCTGTTTCAGGGTTCCAAACATATACTATGCCATCTTCACTTCCAGCAAAGAGAAAAGTCCCACATGGTGTTAAAGTACTGTGAAGCTTTTCCCGGTAATTTGCTGCACCGACAAATTTCCTTGCTGCTAATCTATAGACCACAAAATAAATAAATAAATAAATTAATTAATTAATTAATTAATTTAATGATATAATCATTTAAAAGATTACTGGTAGAAAAACTTTCCATTTAAATATTTAATTTGAATTCAACAAAATACTTTTTGAGATTCTATCATATGAAAGAGATTCTTTGATGGCTGCAGAATAAAGAAGAGCTGGTCCCAGTGCCCAGGAAGGTTAGAATTTAGCAGGGGAGAGAAGGACTGTATCAATGTGAAATAGAAGATGGATACAGAATGTATCCCACAAAAGAAGAGAAGAAAGAGTGCTTTGCAGATCTAGGTTAGAAGAAAAAAAGAGACAGACTACTTTATGGAAGCAACATTTGAGTTGGTTACTTAAAAAATGGATAGATTTTTTATATTCTTATAATATCTTTCTTCTAATGTATTTTTAAAATCACACGAGGAATACTTGGTCCCTGAAGAAATAGTAGATAAAATAAATTATCAAATCATACATTAAATTGGTGTACAAACTTTCAGACTTTTTCACTTACAAATGAAGGTTACACTGTTTCAGCACTTATACCTGTCTGGTAGAAACACTAATCTCTTTTTAGTCTATCAATAAATAATGAATAGTTGAGCACCATGTCAGAAAAAATACATTATGCATTATCATTTTAATGGGTATTTACCATTGCCTAAATGTATCTTAATAAATTTTCTATTGTGTAGCATTTACAATGTTTCCCAGTTTCCTTTACCATGAACATGATGTCAATAAGCAATCTGTGTATTTATATATATTTATACTATTTTACAATTTTTTTCTTAACATGAATTTCCAGACCTATAGTTACTGGGTTAAACTATTCTATTCCTTTCTATGTCCTTTACTGTTGTATGTACATGTTCTAACTACTTTATTCCTCCACAAAACCCTTATAAGTAAGATATATTATTTCTCCCATCTGAGAAATGAAAAAAGAGAGGCACAGAAAGGTTAATTGGCTAGAAAGGGTGAAGCATTTGACTCTAAGCAGTGCACCTCTAGAGCCGAGGCATGATCTTATATTATTTAAAAAGGAACTACCAAACTCTTTAGACTGGACTTCCAATCTATTTCTAATTGCCATTTCTTAAAAATTTACTCCCAGTATTCCTTGTCAAGAAACCTCTACTCATATGGGCTACCTCCTCTGCCTTGAACACACATGATTCCACTTCTGAACTTGATTTCATGCTTTCTATCCTACTGAAACACTTCCATCTTATCTAAATTCTGTCCATCCTTCAAGATTCAGCTCAAATCTCCTCTAAATAGAACCTTTAACAGAAGACTATATCATAGTTATCAGCTTTATTGTTGCCATGAAAAATATAATTTTTTATTATATACTTATATTCATTAAATATAATGTGTGAATATATATACACATTTATACAGTGCTTGCTATTTAATGCCAGGCATGACATGAAAAAAGAACAAACAAATTCCAATCTGTGAAAGTCTCATATTTTAGTCTGACTAAATATTTTTGTTTCATTTTGGAGGTGTGCAATTAGATTATTAATTCTTCATGGACTAATCCTTTTATCATTGTCTCAAATCCATGCCAGGATCTTGAACTAGTCTATGTAAACAGTGAAGGTTAATGATCAGCACTAAAAAGATAACTGCAGAATCAAACTAATATATTAATCTTACCAATTAATATCACCATGTTTTTCTAAATACAATAAGGAAATCTAATAAAATAGCTTTCTCTCATTTGTTTTACAGAACCATGGAGACAAAAGCATACTAAAATCCCAGGCATTTTCCCAGAACTCTGCTCTGTCTTTTCTATTTAAAAAAATTTCCCTTCATTTAGGAAAAAACAAAAAAAAAAAACAAAGAAACCTAGAGTGGTGGTGCACACCTATACTCCCAGACACTTGGGAGACTAAAGCAGGAGGATTGCAAATTCAAGGCTAGCCTCAGCAACTTAGTGAAACTCTGTCTCAAAATTTAAAAGGGCTAGGATATAGTTCAGTGGTAAATGCCCCTGGGCTCAATCCCATTACCCCCAACTTCCTGTTATACACAAGAAAGAAACAAAACAAACAACAACCTATTAACCAAAAGTCATCTCCTTCAGTTATATACCAATATTATGCTTATAGCAGTTTCAAAGAGATAAAAGATACGCTCTCATTGTTGAAGGTAGAAGTTTCTGTTTTTAATGGTGAAGATAGAAAGCAGTGGACTACATTTTAGCCCCAGAGCTGTTCTCATTTGGGGCTGGATAATTCTGTGTGTCAGGGGCAGTTTCTTATGAGCCATAGGATGCTTAGCAGCATCTCTGATCTTAACCTAACAGATACATAAAAAATGTCTCCAAATGAAAAGATAGCCTCTTCAATAAATGTACCAAGAAAACTGGAAATCCATACGTAATAAAGTGAAATTAGACCCCTATCTCTCACCCTGCACAAAACTCAACTCAAAGTAGATCAAGGACCTAGGCATTAGACCAAAGGCCCTGTGCCTACTAGAAAAAACAAAAGTAGGCTCAAGTCTCTACCATTTGGTTTAGGAACAGAATTCTCAGCAAGACTCCTAAAGTGCAAGAAGTTGAATCAATAAATGGGATGGATGGCTTCAAACTAAAAAGCTTCTTCACAGCAAAGGAAACAATCAAGAACATGAACAGAGAGTCTACAGAATGGAAGAACATTTTTGCCACCTACATCACAGATGCATAATTAATCTCCAGGACATATAAAGACTTAACATCAAAAAAGCAAATAACCCAATCAATAAATGAGCAAAGGAACTAAACAGATACTTCACAGAAGAAGAAATACGAATGATCAACAAATACATGAAAAATTGTTCAATATCACTAGTAATTAGAGAAATGCAAATTAAAACTACATTGAGATTCTGTCTTACTCCAGTAAGAATGGCAATTATCAAGAATACAAGTAACAATAAATGTTGGGGAGGATGTGGGAAAAAGGGTACACTTATACAATGGTGGTGGGACTGAAAATTGGTGCAACCATTATGGAAAGCAGTGTGGAGATTCCTCAGAAAACTTGGAATGTAACCACCATTTGGATCCAGTTATCCCACTCCACGGTGTATACCCAAAGGACTTAAAATCAGCATACAATAGTGATGTGGACACATCAATGTTCTTAGCAAAATTCACAATAGCTAAGCTATGGAACCAACCTAGGTGCCCTTAATAGATGAATGATGAAGAAATGTGGTACATATACACAATGGAATATTACTCAGCCATAAAGAAGAATGAAGTAATGGCATTTGCTGGTAAATGGATGGAACTTCAGACTATCATGCTAAGTGAAATAAGCTAATCCCAAAAAACCAAAGGCTGAATGTTCTCTCTGATATGTGGATGCTGACTCATAATAGGCGGGGGGTGGGGAGTGGAAGTTCACTAGATTGGATAGAGGAGGATGGGGAGAAGGGGGTGAGGGGGATGGGAATGGAAAAGACAGTAGGATGAATTGGACATAATTTTCTTATGTTCATATATGAATACACAACCAGCGTAACTCCACATAACGTACAACCAGAAGAATGAGAAGTTGTATATACAATATGTTAAAATACATTCTACTGTCATGTACAACTAAAAAGAACAACAACAACAAAAAAGAAACAAAATGTCTCCAGGCACTGTCAGATATCCCGAGGGGGCAAAACTGCCTAGTTAAGAACCATTGCTGCATTTTATAAATATAAACTAACTTATTAATTATCCTACGAGTACTCATCTTGTTGATACTAAAATATACTTACATTCGGAGATCCATAATTCTCAAAGTGCTGTCTTTGGTATGAATCAATAAACGTTTTCCATTGGGATGAACCTCCAAATAACTTATTGGAATCCCCTTAAATTCAGTTTCCTTAATTTCCTAAAATGAATTAAAAAATCATAAACTATGGAGCCTGAAAAGTAGAAAATTAATTTAAAAACATCACTTGCAATTCCACTATATACAATACTGTAAAACTGTTAGCAAAAAGATTCCCAGCAACTGCAGTTTAGGACTGAAAACGAAGCTGACAAATCTTATTTTTTGTAATATGCAATACTGCATTTAATTAGTATGTGTTTTTGTATATTGTTCATTTTCAGTCCCAAACAAAAGGCACATTCATCATACACATCTTCTGACACTGCATTTTTAGTTTAACATCATATAAGAAAGCTTCCAATTTTTATAAATTCAAACCTAAATGCAGAATTAACTTTTCAGTTTCCAGTCCAATCTCATACTTTTCATATACTTCTACTAGTCTTGAAAAATCGTAAGTTACAGATATGTCATTCTGAAATCATTTAATTTAGATTATAACTTTAGGTAGGGTTTTGGGAATTTGGAGATACAGTTATTTGATGCAGCTAAAGAAGATATTAAATAATGATGTCAGGAAAGATACCTGCCTATACCAGCCTTGCCCAAGAAGAATTACTATTATCTTACTCTGTATGTTAAAATCAACTCATAATGGATAGAAAATCTAAATTAACACCAAAAACTATAAAATTCATACAAGAGAACATAGGGGAAAAGTTTCTGAATATTGGTCTTGGTAATGAGTTTTTGAGTATTACATCCAAACCTCAGGCCACAAAACCAAAAAAATCAATAAATGAGATGACATTAAACAGGTTTTGAACCACAAAGTAAACAGTCAACAAAACGAAATGGTGGCCTACAGATTGGGAAAAATATTATGCGTAAACCATGTGTCTAATAAGAGGCCAATACCCAAAATTTATAAAGACTCTTACAACTTAGTAATGGAAAAACAAGTAACCTGAGTAAAAGATGGGCAGAAGATCAAAACAGACATTTATCTCCACAGAAGACATAAAAATGGCCAACAGGAATAAGAAATGAGGCTCAACATCATTAATCATTCAAGGAAATATAAATTAAAACCATCATGTGATAACACTTCAGACCTGCCAGAATGGTTATCAAAAAGTCAAAAGTTAAGGATGTGGAGAAAAGAGAACTGTTCTACACTGCTGTTGGGAAAGTAGAGTCAATATGGAAAAGATTATGGAGATTTCCAAAGAAATTGAAATGAGAACTACCATATGATCCAGCAGTCCCTCTTCCAGGCACTTAAGGGAAATAAAATCATCATCTTATAAAGATAGCTGCACTCCCATTCCCATGTTCACACCAGAAACTATAAATATTCATAGAACAGAAATAGAGGAAAAACCTCTGAATATTAGTCTTGGTAATGAGTTTATGGGTATTACATCCAAAACTCAGGCCACAAAAACAAAGATAATAAATGGGTATTGTTCACAATTGCCAGCATATGGACAGAGTCTGTGTCCAGCCATGGATAAACTGTGATATATACCTATACACACACACACACACACACACACACACACACGGAATGGGGGTGGGGCTATTATTTATCCCTAAAAAAGAATACGTTCTTTCCATTTCCTACAATGTGGATGAGCCTGGAGGATACTATACTAAGTAAAATAAGTCAAACAAAGAAAGAAAAATATTGCAAAAATTTTTTGCATGATCTCACTTATGTGTGCAATGTTAAAAAATAAAAAATTCAAATAAAGAGGTTATTGGAGGCTGCAAGGGTAGAAGAAATGTAAAGATGTAGGTCAGAGGATACATCATAGAATGAACACGTCTAGAGAGTTAATGTATAACATGAGAACTACAGGTAGTAAAATTGTATTGAATGAAAGATTCATGCTAAAGGGGTAGATTCCAATTGGTCATCATAAAAATAACAATAAAGACAAACTATGCCACATGATGGATTTGTTAATTTTTCACAATGGTAACCTTTTTACTGTATGCATGTATTTTCCTAATATTATATATACCTTAAATATACACAATAAAATTAATTTTTAAAAAATCAAAAGAATATTATCAAAGGTTATTCTTTTTTAGCTTACCAGACAAAAGAATTCAAATGAATATTACTTTGGCTAAAGTCCAAAAAATCAAAGAAAAGTCTCTTAACCTTCAGGCAGAACTCTAAATTAGCCACCTTCTCCCTTATTGCTTTTCATTCCCTTCATTTAAGAGTGTCTCTGGACTTCTTCAGCACTAGTCATGGTGGGCTTCACTGAGCTACAGTTCTAGTATTAGCTGCTGAGCCCCTGCTACCACTGTTTGTCACTAAGAACTGCAGCCAGCTATTTTTTTAAAGTCATAGACAACAATGAAACACACCACAGATGAGGATTTCAGTGAGTTAAACTACATCAAATTTGAGGCGAGAGAGCACTGGTGGGGAATTGAGCAACTGGAACAGGAACAAAAGTGACAAATAAAAAATAAAACTGCAGAACCAGTGTTAGGTACAAATTTGAGAAAGTTGCTACCAGATTTAATGCCTGTAGTGTCTGGTGATTTCCTCCATATTTTTCTTTGATTACATTCATATTCAAACTAAAAAAGCCCTTGCTTTGAAGAGTATTATGACTGGCTAAGAGTATTGTGCAACAGTATATGAATGCTTCATGGCTAAGGGACAGATGATTGTAACTTAGCATTCACCACACTGCTGGTGAACTACAGCCAAGGATATAATCACTGTCTCTCCAGTTTGTCATATGGCATTTTCCACTAAAAAGACATTCTAGCTCACTTCTTAAGTTTTTTATTTTTTCTTTACTTTTCACTTATTTTAAAAATTTCTTGTCTTTTTCATTTATTTAATTTATTTATTATTTTAGTCTTTATTTAAATATGTTATATATGATGGCAGAATGTGGGCTAGGATGCAGTTGAGTAGTATAGTGCTTGCCTGGTATGCGAGAGATTGTAGAATCAAAACCCAGAACTACACATGTGCGCTTATGCGCGCGCACACACACACACACACACAAAGTCCTGGCCCAAATGAAAATATTCACTATGTTGTCATCAATTAGTCATCAGGAAGATGTGACAGTTAATTATAACTGACTTTTTAGGGACTGAGAAAGAGTTGCTGTTTTAGAAAGAATATCTATATGTCCTATCTCAAGGTCATGTGGTTGAATATTTTTCCCAATTTCTTTAATTACATTCCAAATTACAAAATATGATTTCATACCTTATCTATAGTCCAGTGGCGCACTGAATGTTGCAAATCATTAACTTTGACGTAAGTATTCCAAACAACAATCACCCCTGTGCAGTCTCCTGAATACATGTGATGGCCTATTTTAAAACAACAAAAACAACAACAAAAAACCCAAACTCAGCTATGAATATTGCAAGAGTTAAAAACAAAAGCTATGAAGTCTAGGGAGAGGAAACCACAACCCAGTGGAACAATCAAAGAACTGGAGTGCCATTAAAAGGCATGTTAGTTTCAAAAAGCAAAATAACTTCCAATCTAATTCCAATTATCTTTAAGTGAATTTTTCATTCTTTTAAATTATTTGTGAATACTTATTTCCATTTCTCCCTTACCTGAATTTTAACACAGCAAATGAGCATTTCAGTGTTTGGGTATACAGCTCATACTCTAAAGCCAGATTAATTGAATTATTCAACCAGCACCTCTACTCCTAATCTTTGTTAACCTATATAATCTGCTTTATAGGCTTAGAAAAGCATAATACCTAAAACCCACTGAAAACTCAATAAATGAACAGAGATGAATAAAATAATAAATAACAAATGTTAATAGTTTAACCTCAATTCTTTAGCATTAAGTCATCTTAAAGCTGAATAGGATTTTAAGCATCAAGTTCAGGAATCTCTTATACACCATTACTAATAGAAGGGTGTTTGCTAATTGTAAATTTATTATTTTTATAAAATAGCTTATTCAACTGGTGAATTGCTCTATGTGTTAGAATGCTCTTTTTAATTCTGAGCAAAGAAAAATCTGACTTCTGTAGCTTTGGCCTCAATTCTACCTATTAGAGAGACATTTTGCACATTTGCATATCTTATGGCTAAATATTTTTTTAATTATCTCTTTTATAACCTGAGCTACTTCTGACAATTTTTCAAGACACTTTTCTTCTCATGGCCTTTCATGTATATGTTCCAAATTTACTGACATCCTTATAGATGAACATTATTATTACAGATACATATCATCATTTTGATCTGAATCCCATTTTAATTAATGAATGCTACAGCTTACATAGCTAGTGTCTGAAATAATGTATAAAGTGAGTAATTAATAGACATAATAAAACTCTTTAAGAAAAATAACTTATATTTTATATCTTTAAAATATCATCTACATTATTCATATGCTAGGAGAAACCTTTAAATGATTATAATTTTCCCTTTTATATGTGTGTGTACTTGATATGATTTGGATATGCCCCCAAAACTCAAGTATTGAAGGCTTGGTCCCCAGGGGAGCCATATTCAGAGGTAGGGCTTCAGGGAAGTGATTGGATCATGAAAGGCTTTGACTCCATCAGAGGATGAACCCACTGATAGCTAAACAGCAGAAACTGTAGGCAGTGGGACAGTTAGAAGAAACAGGTTACTGGGAGATGTGCCCTGGGATGGTATTACTTGTCCTCAGTCCCTTCCTCTCCCTCTCTGCTTCCCCACTGCCCTACTGTGAACATCTTTGCTCTACCACACTCTTCTACCTTGATATTCTGCCTCACCTCAGGCTGAAAACAATGAAGCAGACAACCATGGACTAAAATCTCTGTAAGCCAAAATAAATCTTTGTTCTTCCAAATTCTTTTTTGAGTTATTTGATCAGTGATGAAAAGCTGAGAAACACTTACTATTTAAATAATCCTGTTGCTCATTTAACATATATATTTACATTCTTTTGAGATTTTCCCCTCACATCTCCCTAATTTTGGATCCTTTAACTTAAAAGGTCCTTAAAGACAACTTACTAAGAATAATCATCACCAATCCAAGTAAATACATTAAGAAAATTTGATACACAACTGACTATTGAGAGTAGATATCAAATGAATCTGTTGAGAAATTTAATAATTTTAAAAATATAAACAAAACTCCCTCAGTGTCAAACCTACATGTAACCTATACCTAAATATTCACAAATAATCATCAATACATAAAATCCCCCAAGCTTAAATAAGCTTATCAGTAAAATGAAAATTAAAATCAGTTCTTCATTCAATTAGCCCTCCTTGTGAACATATTCTCTGACATACCTTCAGCATCAAAACAGAGAGAGTTGATAAAACTCTTGTGAGCATCAAATTGTCTAACCAATATGGCAGAATCTTCTCTCATATCAACTTTCCATATCCGTATCATAGAATCATAGCAACCTGTCACCACCAGCTCTCTTACAGCTGGATGAAATTTAGCCGTGTACACAAAAGAAGGATGAGGTAAAACTCTGAAAGTATTTGTATTGTTTATTTCATTTTTCCATATCCTGTAAAAATAGAAAAGTTATATATTGTTTCTGAAAGGCATTTAACAGTTTATCTAAATGCTAATAGACAATAAGCCTTAAATAAGTAATTAACAATGACCAAGGTAAAGCAACATTTATAGCAATAAAAAAATATGACCATGTATTTGATGGCTGAAAAATTTCACACTTAGCCATTTCTTATTCTCAAGCATAATATATCTATTAATTATAACCTATAGGGTAAAATTAAAAACTGTATTTTTATTTGGATATATCTCTATATTTTTAAAATCTACCTATTTTTGATATTATTTAAACCACATTGAATAGTTGGTAAAATATTGCTTTTATTACAATGCATTTTTAAAAATATGGAGAGAAACTTAAATGATTGGCCATTTATGTTGTATATATTGCTTCTGGAAAATGCTTACTAGTGCTGGTTTAGAGAACAGGATTGACTATTGATTTTTACATCTGTAATTTCAAAAAAAATGATTATGTAGATAATAAACATGAAGATCCCAAAGACTTCAAAGCTGTGTTGAAATTACTCTGAATTCTTGAGCAAAATAAAAATAATATCAAAGATTCTGATAAGCTATGCTACACTGGGCACTCTTTCTGTGTTCAACCCTCTCAGTATTTCTTCCTCTAAATAATGGCTGATTTTATACAAAACTTAATATTATTATTGTCTTGATCAAAGAGTGAATCAAAGGGTTAAACTGTTTTGTTAGGTATTTTACATTTCTGTGATGTGTAAAACTAGGCAAAATCTAGCAACAAAAAAGGAGTTACATGAACGTGGAATAGTGAATTTTGAAAATATGTTTGGTTAAGTTATTAGAATTAGAATTTTTTTTAAATTTAAATTTAAATAATTCAAAATGTTTTGAATTATTGCATAAGAATTAAAGCAAATTAAGTCTTTTATAAAACTGTAAATAAAAGAAAAATATAGTTGACTATTTAAAAATAACATTCTATGAATTTTCTCAGCAGCTGCTTAAAATATGGAATATGCTCTTCAATTACTAAGAATCCAAACTATTGATGAAATAACATGTTTCAAATGAAAATAAAGCATGTGTCACTACATAAACATTTTTACCACAGTAAAAATTTCAATAAACATATGCTACATGAAATAGGATGCCTACTAAAAGAACAAAATTGCTAACTTGCTAAAATAGTTAAAAGAAAAAATCTTAATTGCTTGTTAATAAATCTTAGTGGCATTATTTGAAATATTATAAAACAGGCAGAAATGAAACAAACTTATCTTTAAAACAGCTCCATGCAATTAAAGTAGATACAATATTTTTAAAATAAAAATGAAGCATTTTGTATAAAACCTGATCAGTTACTAGTGGTGGTTTTTACAGAATACAAGATCAAAAGACATACATTAATGGGTTTGGAGGAAATCAGGGTGCTCATAGAGAACAAGGAAACACAAATCTGTAAGGAGTGGGTGAGCCATACACAAAAATAATTATATTTGGGGATGAAAAAAAACATACCAAAGACCAAAGTTAAAACAGTATTGGAGGGCTGGGGCTGTAGCTCAGTGGCAGAGCACTTGCCTAGCATGCATGAGGCACTGGGTTCGATCCTCAGCAACACATAAAAATAAAAAAACAAAATAAAAGGCATTCTGTCCATCTACAACTACTAAAAAAAAAAAAAAAAAAAGCAGTATTGTAAGGTACACTAAATGGGCCTATTGGAGAGCCATTCCTCAGATTGTATTAGGAACTGTTGATGTGAAAACACACACACACACACACACACACACACACACTATTCTACAAATGGCTAAAGAAGAGGATTTAGACTAAAGGCATATGGCAGAAAGCTAGTCAGTGAGAAAATGTTACTCAGGAGACATTAGCGATAACATAGAGCAGTGATTCCCAGGAAAAGAGAAGAAGACATGAGCAGTAATTACATTTGCCACTTCTGATTATTAGGAATCCTAATTCTCTTCCTTTTAACTTTAGCTTATTCCTTGCAAATATCCTTTATTTCTTTCAAAAACCTCCTTGTCCTTGCTCTCCCTTCATTCAGTTAATGATGTCACAATATTTTTACAATGTAGAGTCTAAACAAAGCTACATAAAGAATAACATACTTCTCTATAATGTATTGTATGTTGTGTGGGGAAACCCAGGACAGCTTCAAGAAAATTTGGGCTGAATTTTTAAATGACAACCACAATTCACTATGGCTCATAAAAGGCACTTAATTTTTTGTTGAATGATGGAATTAGGCAAAAAGGGTAAGAGAGGGGCATTTAAGTATAGGAGGAATAAGTCTAAGGTAAAATGGCATGAGATGACAAAGAAGATATGCTAAGGGTATTTCCAAAGATTGTGTGGGTCAGGCAAAGGGTATCTGGCAAGTGCATAGAGAAGAATGTAAGAACAATCAATGAGGGATATGTCTTTATGCCGTGGTAAGGAATTAGAACATTTCCCAAAGGCAATGGGTATTCAAAGACTTTTTAAAGTCAAAGTATTATGAAAGATGGTTTTAGAAAGATTAGATTTTAGCACAGCAGAGGCAGAAGAGCTAGAGATTGAATGCTAGGAAAGTGAAATACCGACATAAGAAGAGATACTAGGGCTTGAAATAAGGCAAATGCATCAACAACAGAAAGGATGTGACAGAATTTTGAGTCTTTAAAGAGGGAGAACTGGCAGACTTCAGTGCTTGTTAGATGTGGACAGAAATGGTGGGAATGGAATAGATGAGCACAGTTTGAAAAGACAAACTCAAAAAAAAAAAAAAGGTGGGAGACAGAGACATTAGCACATAAGAGACTCAAAGCTGGGGAAGGGAAGAGAAATTGCGATATACATACAAAACAGATAAAGATGGGTGCATTTATAGATATTAGGGGGGAAACCAGAAGGAAATAAAGAAAGTTCATGTCTAAGTTTGACAGCAAACTGAAGGTAGTCATCTAACAAAAACTGGAAGACTGTAATTTAGTATAGAGAACTTGAAGACTGTGATTTAGAGAACTTGATGCACAGTGAGCTTTGGATCTGCTACCAGAGGAATGGGAAAAGGAGCTGAATAAAAATAAGAATAAAGATTGCTCAGTAGGGACAAGAGCTCAGGTGACTAAGACTCACCAATCTACAAACAATCCTCAACAGAGCTATGCATTTTCCTTTAGTATTACTGACATCAGACCTAATGGCTGTCCCTGAGAATACTGTTCCTGATCAGTTCCTGAGCATATTGGTAAAGGGGGAGTAAGAAAGTAGGTTCCCAGCTAAACAAAGAGGGAAATTAATTGTCACGAACTGTCATCTTTTTCATTTACATATAAACTAAACACCAATGATAAAAATCATTATCAATTAGACATTTTATATAGAAAAGAAGAGTAAGATCAATAGAAAAAGGGGCCCAGAGGCTACAAGTCACATGCTAAGTTAAAAGGAAGCAAAAAATGTAAATGAGAGTGAAGTCATAATGGATTTTAAAATGCTAAGTGTCACACTAAACTATAGAGAGAACGTGTCCACCTAATAGTTGTTGGAACCAAATTAAATGATGTATATAAAAGCATTTTGAAAAATTACCTAATAGCATTTTTAGAACACAAAGTCAAATAAGCATCTAAAAACAGTATAATTAAAACTTTAAAATTTAGCTTTTTTTAAAAAAATTATTGATACTACTAAATTGAAAAGGGACAATTTAAGAAGATATTGAAAATGCAAATAATTAACAATCTACAAAACTCTTTAAAACATAAACCACATACTTATTTATTCCCTCTACGTCACTAAGTAATGAGCTCTATTGGGTTCTAGCCCCTGAATCCAGCCATGGCTGAAGATTAAAGATGGAATCTCTGACATCAGAAGAAAAATTTCAAGTGTATAATAACCTCATCTCAAGCTATTAACCAAAGAGTTTACTTAATGATCATTTCAAGATGGTTAGGACCAGAAATCCTACATACTATATAAATAAATATATTTAAGAAGAATTCTTTCAAGGAAGAAGTTTATGACTACTTATTTAATCAGTCAGTCTACATGATGCATATTTATGACAGTCCCTTCATTGGTAAAAACAAAACAGAAGCATAAGTGTAGTTGCATGACTTCATCTTCTCTTAGCTTTCCTCCATGGCAAAGAGCATGCAAAATCAGAACTTGCTGAGTATACTAACCTGGCAGTGCCATCAGATGATGAAGTAAGAATATATCGATCATCTGTTGACCAGCAAAGGTCATAAATGATATTGAGGTGGCCACACAATTCTCTCATGAAACGTCCAGAAGGAATTTCATATACTAATAAAAATATTTAGAAATTAATAGGCTTCCAGATAGAGGATATTTAATTCAATGTTACCTAAATACACAATTCATAATAATTTAGACATGTTAAAAACTGTGTAAGAAAAATACAACCAAAGACATGCAGTACAAACAAAATTTTACAATCTATATAAAAATAGTTTTTCATTACCTTAGATATAAGAATTTACACATAAAATTTTATAATATGCTAAAATAATATAATAGAATATATTATTAATCATTTTAATCTCTCAAAGCAACCCCGAAGTATCTTTGATAATTAATTGATCAGTCTTATAATAAATAACATTTACATTGCAATTTACTTCAAATAGTCTATAATATGGGGCTTCACAAATAAGGTTTTATTTATTCTACGTGAAAAAGAACTAAATGCTGACCCATATTGTAATTATTTATAGTAATAAGAAATTTAAACTGTTATTGTAAAAAAAAAATTCTAATGTATAGACACTATGGCTGACCTGAAGAGGGCTGCACCAGTAAAAAGTGAAGGCTAAGGCAGAGTTTTAAATTGTCTTCCAAAACACTGAAAGCATATTCCAACACATACACACAGCTTCCTGGCCAAGGACATCAGATCTATCCACTCATAGTTATTTTTAAAAAAACTCTGCCTGACCTATAAGCTGACCACTAACCTGAGTAGAGACTACAATGTTAATACATGACAAAGAATAAAGACTTTACAGAATTAGTCCAGGAAAGTCACTAAACAAATAGCAATAATAGCAAATCCTGGTTTGGATGAGAGGAAATAGGAAGAGGAATATGATTCCCAGAGCTGCTGTACTACTTTTTTCATTTCAATATCCAGTTTTCAGCTCAAAATTATGATACACAGAAAAACAAACAGGAAAGTATGGCTCATACACAGGAGGAAAAAAAGCAGTCAATAAAAACTATCCATACAGAAATTGAAGAAAAAAATAAAGAAATTGAAGAAGCCCAGAGGTTGGTCTTTTTCAACAAAAACATAATATTATAAATATGTTCAAAAATCTGAAGAAAACCATGTCTAAAGATGTAAAGTCTAACAATGATTTCTCATCAAAAAAGACTGTATCAGTAAAGAAACGGAAATAATAAAAAAGAATAAGGCAGAAATTTTAGGGTTGAAATGTACAACTGCTAAAAGGGTTCAACAGCAGCTCTGAACTGATGGAAGAATTACTAAACAACATCAGGTCACTTGAGATTATTCTGTCTGAAGAACAAAAAGAAAAAGAATTTAAGGGGCTGAGGTAGTGGCTCAGCGGTAGAGCACTCGCCTATCATGTGTGAGGCCCGGTTCAATCCTCAGCACCACATAAAAATGAATAAATAAAATAAAAACATTGTGTTCAACTACAACTAAAAAATAAATATTTTTTTAAAAAGACTTTAAAAAAATAAATGAATAAGTCTCAAGAGACCTGTGGGACACTACTAGTTCTACCAACACAGGTACAAGGAGTGTCCCAGAAGAAGAAAGAGAGGGGCGAACAGAACACTGGAATGACTGAATACTTAGCATATTTGTAAAAAACAGTAATCCATACATTTAACAAGCTAAAATGATGGCCAGATTTGGACACATCATAATAGTTCAAAATCAAAAAGTCATCCTCTATTTTAAGATTTAAGCAATACACATAGCACTTTTAACAAGTAATTTAAGCATAAAGTAACAAGTCTATCACAAAAAATTTACAACATATAAACCAGAATGAAAATAATTCTTTCACTATCCCCCCCAAAAGAAAAAATATATTATTAATATCTTAGAGCATATTTCCCAAGAATCTTTTTCTACTATACATAGGTTTCTTGGTGAGTTTTAAAATAGCACAGTGGTAATTGAATTACATAAATAATTTTGTATTTTAAAAATCTATTATTATTGCAATGGGAAGGAACAGTCATTCAAAAAATGCCAATAGAATCAATTCTGACTAAATCAACCAAGGCATAACAAACTACATGAAGCTAAGTGAAGTTCAACATGATCTGGGGGTTAAGGCAGAGAAGGTTAATGCCATGAGGAGCTGCTTTCTTCCTCCTGAGGAGAGCTGGCTTTCAAGAGCGAGTTATAAATACGGGACTATTTAACACAGAATTCTAAATCTAGAACAGTATGATAATGCTCACTTAAAAAAAAAAAAATCTCTAAAGCTACAGAAAAATAATTTTTCTTGGCCTCTCTGTTGACTTCCCTGTTTAATAACAAGTTTTTATCTGGGTACTGCTAAGCCAATTATTAGCATTCTAGTACACAAGTTTGTGAGTTTTTATAATTCAAATAACCACCTTTATCAACTAACCATATTGGACTAAAATCTCCCATGAGAATTATTAATCCCTTAAATTTCTAAATTTCTGTACTTAAAGTAGAAAATGTTTACAAAAATTCTTCTGCATGTTTAAAAAAAATAATAGCTTTCATTTCAGAATTTTCACTATATTTGAAAAAAATATAAAAGTTATAACAGTTTTAAAAGTTATACAAGTTATAAAAATACAAAAGTTATAAAAGTATAAAAGAACTGTTTACCTGAAGAAATCTGTTTAATTTACTGGTATTGGGGATTACTCGCATTAAGATTTCAATGAGTTCTAAAAACTAAACAATGTCCACCACACAGACTACAATCAGATTAAACAGGTAGGATCATTTCTCACATATAATTGGATATCCATCCCGGCTGGCACAGGCTGCTGCTAATATTCTTCCATTGTGGGAGAAATCAAGACAAAAACATCCTCGCTCTCCTGCATTCAGTGAGAAGAGGTGCTTGTTTGGGATACGGCAAGCCTAAAATACATACATTTAAAATTCATGTTAGTAAACATTAAAAATACAAACTCTAGTTGTTAAATTTAAATTATTATAGTGTCTTTTCTTTTTTTTTTTTTTTTTTTTAATTTTTTATTGTTGGCTGTTCAAAACATTACATAGTTCTTGATATATCATATTTCACAATTGATTCAAGTGGGTTATGAGCTCCCATTTTTACCCCATATACAGATTGCAGAATCACATCAGTTACACATCCATTGATTTACATATTGCCATACTAGTGTCTGTTGTATTCTGCTGCCTTTCCTATCGTGTCTTTTCTTAATAAAAAGGGAAAAGCAAGTAGGTAGAATAATGAAAAACCATAGTAAATTACTTACTAACCAGAGAATTGGTTCTCCATAAAATTAAGTGAAATTGTTCTTCACGTCTAACTAGTTTTTAATTCATACAAAATATGAATAGAAACATTTCAATATCTGATACTCTAAAGCTGTCACTACAACATTGCTTTTATACAAGCACAGAAAAGAATATATGTCACCTTATTTTGAACAGCAACTAATAAGTCACTTTTGCTAATGTGACAAATTTGTTTTTAAAACTACATATGACCTAGTTTAAGCCCAGAGTATACAAATATTCGTTTTCTTTTTCTCTCTTAAAATAATTATCCTCTGTGACTGTTTCTAAAATATACCATAATTCCCTGCCCACCTATTTGTGGTATGCTTTCTGAGGTTCTGGGTTAGTAACAGCAACTGGGGTCTGAAAATAATAAATGGAAAATTCCAGAAATAAAAAAATTCATAAGTTTTAAATTTGGAACCATTCTAAGTACTGTGATGAAATAGCATCGTCCTGCTCCACCCTATCTAGAACATGAATCACCTCTTCATCCTGCATATCTATGTGACATAGATATCAACAGATGTAAGTATAGATACCAATATGCTACCTATCACTGAATAGCCTTCTTAGTTATCAGATCAACTATCATATCTCAGTGCTTATCTTCAGGTACCCCTTATTTTAATCAATAATGGCTCCAAAGAACCCAAGTATTGGCAATTCAAATATACTATCATATCTCAGTGCTTACCTTCAAGTACCCCTTATTTTAATCAATAATGGCTCCAAAGAACCCAAGTATTGGCAATTCAAATATGCCAAAGAGAAGCCTTGAAATAATTCCTTTAAATGAAGAGGTGAAGGTTCTAGATTTATTATAGAAAAGAAATCATATACTGAAGATGCCAAGATCTATAATAAGTTTTTATCTGTGAAATTATGAAGAAAAAAAATTGTGGTAATTTTGTGTCATACCTCAAACTGCATGTTATAGCTCCAGTGAGTGATAAATGCTTAGTTAAAATGGAAAAGGCACTGAATTTGGAGGTTGAAGACATGAACAGAAAAGGTGTTCCAACTGACAGCAACATCAGAAAACATTGAGCCTATACAAAAATTTAGCGAAGGATCCCCTGAAATGAGTGACACCAAGCCATTTATTGCAAGGAAGGGAGTTTACAGATTCTCATTTATAAATTAAACTTTAAAACAGTTATGTATAAATAGAGGAACAGATAACCTATGGAGGGTTTAGTACTATCTCTGGTCTTAAAATGCATTTATTGGATACTCAGAGTAATTAAGCATACCCTATTGGTCTCTCATTCATTAATTTCATTAAAATTTCTTCATAATTTATGTTTCATTCCCTATTCCAATTTTCTGGGTATTAATATCTACTATAGAAAACTCTACTTATTTTTTCCCCCAATATCTCTCTCTTAACCTTTAGTGGGTCTTACTTTTGTATTTCTTGTCATACAAAAAACTGAATTAAACATATACTGAGCCCTTAGTTGTGTACTGTGAATATTGTACCTTATTATAAATGCCTTTGAGAAACACCATAAGCAATCCCTGCTATTAGCTAAGAGTATCTATTATTAGCTAACTATAGCTAATAAGGATATTCAGAGAGTTAAGTCTAGCTTAATGGACTCAGTCAAAGACTATTAGGCTTGCTCTCTAGATGGGTACCAGGTACAAACAAAAGATTTGTTTGTACTAGGAATTTGCTACTAGGAATGTATTTGCTACTAGGAATGTGGAATAATAATGTATCAGACAACAGAGGAACTCTAGATAGGGAGGAGGAGTAGGAGGAGAAGGGAGGGGGCGGGGGTTAGCAATGATGGTGGAATGTGATAGACATCACTATCCAAAGTACATGTATGAAGACATGAATTGGTGTGAACATACTTTTATATACAGAGATATGAAAAATTGTGCTCTATATGTGTAATAAGAATTATAATGTATTCACTGTCATGTGTTTAAAAAATAAAATCAATAAAAAATAATTTATCAGACATCATGGAAGACAAAAAAAAAAAATCTGAAGGAGATGTTTGGAGGTTTTACTTACAATCACTTGCTGCTGTTTTTAGAGAAAGTGTAACTGAGGAAAACCATACCTAATCATCCAGCTAAAATCACTGAAGCTACTATCATGTTATTTGTATTTCCAGGGTTTGACACTGTATCCCATTCTATAAAAATTAAATAACAACAACAAAGATCCTCAACAGTTTTGCTGGTGTTCCCTCCCTTAATTTCCTGCCAATCACTAAATCAGGCAGGGTCTTATTTTCTACATTTTATATCCATGTCTTGCTTTTCGTTTTTGTCATAACTAACCCAAGGTTAGCCCCTCATCACCTCACACATCAATGTCCAAATACCATTCAACAGATTTCTCTAATTCTAATGTATCCTGCTTTAGGACTTTCACATGACATTGTCAACATTTATTATCTGAAATATGATTAAGTTTTTCTTCTTCCCAGAACCTTCCATTGTTTCTCACATCCTACACAATCAAGTATCAGGCAAGACACTTTATCTCTTATGCAAACTCTGGTTTCCAGTCAGCAAAGTGTTGCAAGAGTCTAATAAATGCAAGAAGCCCTTTTCACTTATTTGCAACTCTGTTTCTATATGAAATATCCTTCCCTACTCAATCCTTCACCATGCTTAAATCATCCATACTAGTATCTCCAATCCCTCTTGTGAATGAATATTCTTTCTCCATTCTAGTTCACCTTCTTCATATTTGAAGTCTCAAATTTTTATCTAGCTTCAGGATTACTTCAGTCTTAAAATTGTTTTCGAAGATCCCCCCAAAGCTTTTGTTTATGTAGATATATCCATGGAAATTTTTCATTAGAATTTAAAAAGGAGAAATTTTAAAAAATATTTAATTCACTTCAAAAATAATACTAACAAATCCATTAAATGTTAACAAAAGAACACTTATGAAAAATAACTACATGAAGTGAAAGTGTTTGTACAGATTTGAAAATCTCCATAACATCTGGCTTAATAAACGCTAGGTTTTCATATCTGCATTCACCCTCTTGAGATATCACATGCCATTTGGCCTCTGGAAAACTGCAGCATGTATTTGAAACAGAATGAAAATAAAAAGGACTACTAATGCCTTGGAATCATTATGAAAAGAGACTCACTTTGAGGATTACCTTGAAATGGCCTCAGGATTCCTGAAGGTCCCTGAACACACTTTGAAAACAACTGATGTATAAAATTACATTTATATTTATTTTTCCTCAAGACTTTCACATGAAAGTGAACATCACTAATTTCTCCTTTCCTTAAGGGCATAATCTAGTGTCATTCTCTCTATTTTAGAGGTTGAGTATCCTTTTCTGAAATAATTGGAGTGAGAAATATTTCAAATTTTGGAGTTATTTTGGCTTTTGTAATATTTGCCTGGACATTTGTGGCTGAGCATCCCTAAACTGAAAATCTGAAATCTCAAATTCTCTAGAATTCAAAACTTTTTGAGAGTTTTGTATTTTCACATTAGAGATGTTCTACCTGCATTGTTTGAAGTATCCTAACCTCAATAAAGATATTTTAAAATGCATCTATAAAACTGGTCTCAAAAGAAAGTTAAATGTGTTACAAAACACAGCAAATTAAGAGGCCTAGAAAAACAACCATTCCTATTTCTACATTAGAGATTTGGATAACATTTAAATTTTGGATAACTTCTGTCCATGGCTCAAATGTATAAAATGAACTACTCCATCCTTTGTAGAAATAAGAAAGATATTTGTAAAGCTGTACTACCAATGTTTTTGCCACTACAAAAATACTAACCAAGTTAGAAAACGTAGGAAAAAGTTTAAATGTTGCTCAACTTGTTGTAGAAGGATATGCATATGTATGCTATCTCCCTCAAAATGTGATTCAGGAAAACCGGAGGCTGTAAAAAATTCATGAATTCATAAAGATTAGGAGATATGTATCTTACATAACAAAAATCTGTTTTGACTCTGTTATGGGCTAAACAGTGTACATTTCCCAATTCATGTTAAAGTAGCAGTAGAGATAAGAGTATTTAAAAAAATATGATTAAGTAAGAAGAAGTCATTAGGGTAGGGTAGTAAATCCAACAGACTTGTGTTCTAGTAGGAAAAGACACCTGATATTACCATACACAAAGAAAGGATGATAAGAAGAAGCAAAAAGAGGGTAGTCATCTGCAAGCTAAGGAGATGTCACAGAGGATATCAGCCTTGCTGGCACCTTAATCAACATTCATATATTGAAACCCTAATCTCCAATAGGATGGTTTTTAAAGATGGGGCCTTTGAGAGCTTATTAGATCATAAATGTGGAGTCCTCATAAATAGGATCACTGCACTTAAAGGAAGAAACGTGGTACATAGTCTCTCTCTCTCTCTCTCCACCATGTGATGATATAGCAAGGAGGACATTTGTAAGCCAGGAGGACTTTCATCAAATTAGGAAATCAAATTAGCTAGCAACAATTTGGCACTTATTTCTAGAACAGTAAGAAAGAAAGGTCTGTGTGCAATCTCAGGTGCTTGGGAGGCTAAGGCAGTAGGATCACAAGTTCGAAGCCAGGCTTGGCAACTTAATAAGACCTTGTCTCAAAAATAAATAAATAAATAAATAAAAAGAACTGAAGATGCAGCTTAGTGGTAAAGCATCCCTGGGTTCAATCCCTGTTCCACAAAATACATAAATAAATAAATAAATAAACAAATGAATGAATGAATAAACATCTACTTCACCTATGGTATTTTGCTATAGCAGCCATAGCAAACTAATATAACTTCCCTGGTACCCAAATGAAAAATCTACTATACATATAATAGGAATTCTATTATTTGTCAAATGGATTAATTAAAAGTCTAAGATTAAGGTAATAAGTAAATATCTAAACCAATCCAGTATTATTAAACACTTCACCTGCCCAGGAAGTCGTTTCCATTTTACTACTTCCTTTGAATCTTCTAATCCAGGTTCTGTGTCGACTGAACTTGATTCACGGTGGCGTTCACAATACACTGGTTTACCTTTTTCCTCCTGAAGTGCCATCATAGAGCGGTAAGATGGTTTTATCTAGACATGTATAGAAAATGAGAAAAATCAGCTACAGAAAGTGCAACTGACCTGAAAGATTATTTTATTAAAAATAAAATTTGGGGGCCTGGGGTTTTGGCTCAGTGGTAGAGCACCTGCCTCGCATGTGTGCGGTCCTAGGTTCGATCCTCAGCACCACATATAAATAAATAAAATAAAGGTATTGTGTCCATCTACAACTAAAAATATTAAAAATAAATAAATAAATAAATAAAGTTTTATTTGGACACATCACACCCATTTATTTATTGATTTATTCCATATCTATATTGCTACATTTACACTACAAATTCGGATAATTTTGAGAGAGATTATATGGTCTATAAACTCTAAATTGTTTATTATCAGGCCCTTTATAAGGAATATATTTCTCATAATTTTAAAATCATCCTTTCATTTTAACTAAAAAAACAACAAATTTTAACATTTCTTCTAACATTGAAATCTACATTAAAAACTTAAAATTCATTTAAGTATCTCTCTGAGTATTAACCATTATTAACCATAAGCTTAATATATATCATCTCTTCAGGCATTTTCCTATTATAAAAATCCATTAAAAATTTTGAGACCTATCTTTTTAAAACTGGAAAACATATTATATCATCATTTAATTTCAACAATAGAAGGTATACATTTGTATGTGCTATTAACTTACACAGTCTGGAACTTTCAATCCTCGAACAGTTACATATAATGTTGAAGGATAACGATTTCTTGGACATTTGGACCACCATTCAAAAACCTCAACAACATTTAATTGGGATCGAGGTTTAGTAGGTGGGTAGTACAGTTGCAAGCGAAGTTTTGAATTGATATTTGCATTTCCATTGGCTCCCAGTAGCTTAAAAGAATTCATATAAAATATTACTTTCACAGAAAATAAATAATACAATAAAGCAATAATATGTAGTCAGAAACTCTTTTTATAAATGATCAATGTGGCATGCTGAAATTTCTTGGATTTATAAAGCAAAGGAAAGAACATTGACATAGTTAGTTAAGTACAGATTCAGATTATTTTTGAAAAAAGGTAAATCAAATGACAAAATTGAAAAAAAAATATTTTTTCAATAGCCCCCTTTTTATCTGTACAACCACTTCAGAATACAAAACATTTACATTACTGAACTAGATGCCACTCTGCACAAAGGAGTGATCAATACATATTTGTTAATAATAAAGATTAAAATACATATTAAACAGAAACAATTTCCCATTTATTCATTATTACTATTTTTAATGGTTAAATTATTATGTTTTTAAAAAGTCAACATCATCAAGATACTTAAACTAATTCAAACAAATCATTATATTTTCCCAATATTTTAGTTCATCTTCTTAAAATGGTCTTTTTAAAGAAACCTACTAAACAAAATGAATTAAGTAAAGATTCTTATTAGAAAAATTCAAAAATCTCACCAACTCTTTCAATAGAACACAATTCTAAATAGGAAATCAATTATTTCTTTGCAATGCTAAAGATTAAAACCAGGGCTTCACACACGCTAGGCAAGTGCTCTACCATGAACTATATCCCAAGCCTTAGGAAACATCTTTTTAATCTTTGTGTCCTGTACAAATTAGGAATAGAGTGATAGTTGTGAGAATTTACATTAGCTTGGACACAGTATGAAGGTGACTTAAACCAAAAGAAGAGTAGTCAGTGAGTGCAGAAGACATATTTAATAACATTTACTGACTGATAACTTGAAACATTAAAAGAGTCAAGAAAGACTCCAAGGGAGTACTGTCCAACAGAACTTTCTATGATGGTGGAAGTGCTCTACACCTGTGCTTTCTAGAACAGAACCCACTAGTCACATGGGGCTACAAAACACAAGGGGCTGTAGAACCAAATTCATAGTTATATTTAATTTTAATTAATCTAAACTTATCTAGTAACAAGTGGCTTGCAGCTACCAAAATGGACAGTGTAACTGGGAGCCTGGGAAGATGGCAGTACTACCAACTGAAAAAAGAAGAGAGAAAATGGGTAAGAGATTAGTTAGGATGTTTGTTCACTCTGGGGGAGTCTGAGATATCTATAGGTCATTTGAATTAAAATGTCCAGTAAGTAACTGCATTTACAAATCTGAAGGACAGATAATGAAAGTGGGTCCAAGAGAAGTGAATTTAAGATGAAATCAAAAGTAGGACATCAGACTACTGCAAGAATTTCGTATGTGGATCTTCAAGGATATACAACTGCTCCCATTCTACTCCATTCTTCACATTGATCAAAGTAATCTTTCCAAAACATGGTTCAGATTGTTTTATCCTTTTGTTTAAATCCTGTAATGACTTCCTATTACTTTTTAAAAATTTTATCATGGCTTGAAAGTCCTATGTAATCAAGACGCTGTTGACCTCAGTAACCTCTTTATGCACCATTCTTTCAGTCTCTACTCTCCAATCTTAGCAGCCTTTTTTTTGTTGTTGTTATCTGAATAGATCTTGCTACTTATAATAACTGGATTTTTGTATACACTGTATCCCTTTCCTAGAACTCTCCACTCCACTGCTCCCACCTAGGTAGTGCTTCCTTAGGAATGTTTTCCTGATCCCACAGGACACTTGCTTCATAATCCAACCCATAACTCTTCACAGTATTTACAAAAATTAATGATTATATATTTAGTTATTTTATGCTTGTTTTTCTTATTAGAATATGAGGTCAACAAATTTGTCTTCTTTAAGTCTACTGACTAAAACAGTGGCCAGCACATAGAAATGGCTTACTGAATATCTGTTGAATTGAATAAAATTGGCAGGGTCATATATATCTTACTTAGTGCTGCATCCCCAGGACCAAAAAGTGGAAGTGGTACAGGATAGGCAATCAGTAAATATTTAAGACTCTTAACAAGTCTCTCCAAGTTTGTGTTAACATCACTTTCATGATGCAATCTTCCTTTAAGTTCTAACTCCTTATATGAGACTAAACTGTCTAGGGAAAAGCAACCAAATCTGGAGATAATTTTAAATGTGTTTAAAATGAATGAAAAACATACCTTAAGAAATGCCCAGGCAATTTTCCGAAAGCCACATTCTTGGTTTTGAACCTCAGAGTTATTCTTAATTTCATCCATGCTTAAAAAATCAACAATCTGCAAGTAAATTCCAAAAATTACTTCATAGAATACTAGACTATCTAAAATTTAATATTTTCTAATAAAATACTGTTAAAAATTAAAAAAAATTTTTAGTTGTTGACGGACCTTTGTTTTATTTATTTGTGTATGATGCTAAGAATTGAACCCAGTAGCCTCACCCATGCTAAGCAAGTGCTCTACCACTGAGCCACAACCCCAGCCTAATATATTGTTAAAAAAAAATTTTTTTTAAAGAGAAAGAGAGAGAGAGAGAGAGAGAGAGAGAGAGAGAGAGAGAGAATTTTAATATTTATTTTTTAGTTTTCGGTGGATACGACATCTTTGTATGTGATGCTGAGGATTGAACCCAGGCCACACGCATGCCAGGCTACCGCTTGAGCCACATCCCCAGCCCCATATTGTTAAAAATTTTTTAAAAATCATTTGAATATTTAAAAATGTGTTCTTTATATAGAGTAAAATCATTTTTATCTCATTTCATTCACCTTTGAGTTAACTCCACTATTGAGGGTTCATTTTTTGGCCACTTTATCTCTTATCTCTTATTAGTAAATCTTTTTTTTTTTTAATTTTTTATTGTTGGCTGTTCAAAACATTACATAGTTCTTGATATATCATATTTCACACTTTGATTCAAGTGGGTTATGAGCTCCCATTTTTACCCCATATACAGATTGCAGAATCACATCAGTTACACATCCATTGATTTACATATTGCCATACTAGTGTCTGTTGTGTTCTGCTGCCTTTCCTATCCTCTACTATCCCCCCTTCCCTCCCCTCCCCTCCCCTCCCCTCTTCTCTCTCTGCCCCCTCTACTGACATTCATAGAATTTACAGGGAAATGGATGGCATTAGAGCAGATTATGCTAAGTGAAGCTAGCCAATCCCTAAAAAACAAATGCCAAATGTCTTCTTTGATATAAGGAGAGTAACTAAGAACAGAGTAGGGTCGAAGAGCATGAGAAGAAGATTAACATTAAACAGGGATGAGAGGTGGGAGGGAAAGGGAGAGAGAAGGGAAATTGCATGGAAATGGAAGGAGACCCTCAGAGTTATACAAAAGTACATACAAGAGGAAGTGAGGGGAAAGGGAAAAATAATTAGTAAATCTTTTATTAGGATTTATTTTAAACCTAAGGCAAAGAGTTAATTACCTCAAATATTACGGCTATGCCAATTACACTGCCCTGATCATCATACATTGTATGCATTTATGGGAATGCCAATGTAACCCATAAATATGTATAATTATAATGTGTCACCTAAATGTAAAAGATATATTTTAAATAATTACTTAAGTGCAGTCTAGGCACAAATGCACCAGGCATAAAATTCTTAAGCTTTATCATTTAATATGTATCAGAGCAGACTTCAAAGGGTTCATTATTTTAAAAACTCAGGACATTTTTTCTGAGTCCTTGCTTGGATCACCTTCCTGAAGTTGGGGGCTTTCTCTTTGGATACATATTGTAATTAGGCTTCTCAAGAGATTTCTTTCATACCTTCATCTTATCCATATATTAAATCTCAGGGATTTGCTATCAAGCTGCCACAGAGATTGTATTCTAGGTACATGTTAGAGGCTATTGCTTTGCATTCATGGTTATCAAAAGATCAGTTGAGATATTAAAACTTTATAGAAGACTGCTTAAACATTAATATGGATTTCATCCATCCCTCTTCTTTAGATTCTTAAATCTTTTTTCAGATATAATACATGTCCAGTGAAAAAGCACTGACAATACAGAAAGATACAGAAGCAAAGTAAAACAATTTGTAATCTAGACCTATAGATAACTACCATTAGCATTTGGCTTATACAAATGTAAACCTTTTTCTGTGCATTTCTAAATATAGTGTAAGCATGTGACTACAAATACCACAGTCTTTTGCAAACTATTTCATATAGTATGTGGTGGCCATATCTCCATATCATTACAGCCTATGAATATCATCATGTTAATGGCTGCCTAGACTAGTCTACCTAAAATTCTGTATTATAAAACAACGTAAATGTAATAAAAGCCATAATTTATTCAATCAAATCTGTTACTGATTGAAATTAGGTTCCTTAATGTCTCTCAAGTTTTTGCCATAAACAGAGATGAAATAAACATTTGCATATACATCTTTGTACACATGTTACTTTCCTTTTAGGATAAACATCTTGGAGTAGAATAACAGTTTTAAAGACTTTTGATAAATATTATAAAATTTTCCTCAATAAACTCTTCAAAAATTGAAATCAGCAGGCAGGAAACACACTGTGGTAAAACTTAAGTAACCAAAATTGATAATCCAATAATCTATCATTCTTATACCTCTTAATAATTAAGTGATTGTAAAATGACATATAATAAATCACAATGACTAGTTTCTTTCTTTTTCTTTTTCTTTTTTTTAAAGGAGTAGGATTTATTCAAGTGTGAAGTATAGAAACAGGACTCTTGCAGGGGCTAAAGAGGACCCTGTTACGGGTTACCCCCAAATCACAAGTTTCTAGGACAAAGAAAAAAATTCCTTGAGATACAAATTTAAAAAGAAAAAAATTCTTTTTAAAAAATTAGAAACTTTATATACATCACACATAACATAAACATAGATGAAATGATAGAATATTTGTATTATAAACAAACATAAATAATCTGAAAGTCAAGGATCATAAAAATAAGCCATTTTACAAAATGAAACATCAGCTCCAGTCATGCCAGGCATCTTGTTCCTATACTAAAATTTTCCAGTTTGGTTAAACTGGAAAGGAGGCTTTCTCTGTTTCACTTTGCTAGCAGAGAGAGAACATAAAATAGAGAAATGAAATGTGGTATTCAAGGTTGAAATTATCATCAAATATAAATTACCTAACTTAAAAATTGGAGTAACTTAAAGGAAATCACTCTACCCCAAACCTTGATATCCTTTTCAGTGGGGGAAAAAAAAAAAGGGGAAACTTATAATTACAAATCCGCTCAAAGACTATCTTTTTATAAATCTTTCTCTGACTACTCTGACCCTTCACTTCACGTCTAATAAGTTCTTCATCATTTTTGGTTATATATGACATTGTATTAGTTAACTGATCTATGTATGTTTCTTTCTTTTTTTTTTTATCCAGGTGGCACACATATTCTTATGGAGTCTGATATTCAGTTAAATAAGCTTATACTATGTAAATGGAGGACTGCACTCATACAGATAAGATTTATCACTTTAATTAACAGTCATGATGCTGCTGTAAGGATTAAATGATGTCACAGCATAGGTCAAATGGCTAACTTCTGGCACTGAAAACTATCACTGTTTTAAAAGGGGTGTCTTATCTGTACCTTCACAGCATACTGCACACTACTTTGTTGAATTATTGAACTACTTACCACTTACATTTAACAACTTATGTTTGCACAATTAAATATAAACTAAAATTTAGTTTGAATTGTTTACTCCAATTCATACCTCAAAGAACAAGATGACTTTAGGACTCTCATCAAACTCTCGAAGCAAAGAGGGAAAATTTTCATTAAATATAATTTGTTCTTCCCATTCTGGAAGTCTTGATTTTAACTGTTTAAAATCATAAGGCTGAGTCATAATAGGAAGAATATAATCCACATTCTCTTTTTCATAGTAAGATGACACGGGTCGTTCACTGTTCAAAGAAAGACATTTCTGTCAACAAAATTCTAATTTTTAGATGAGAAAAAATTATGATACACAACCAGAAATAATAAATCATAATACAAAAGGAAAAATTATTTTCATAGTCCATCTAGAAAATTATAAATTCATAAAACTTTAAAGTAAAATAGTGCCTTACTATTTTGCATTTATATACCATCAGTTTTCACAGAATTATAGGAACATAAAGTGAGACATAATTATACCTTCATTATACAGTGGAAATAAAGCAATTGCTTCAGAATTTTAAACAAATTTATGATAAGATAGCACAATAAGTTAATATAAAAAAGGAACAGGGCTGGGAGTGGTGATGCATGCCTATAATCCCAGTGGCTCAGGAGGCTGATGATTTCAAAGCCAGCCTCAGCAAAAGCAAGGTGCTAAGCAACTCTGTAAGACCTTGTCTCTAAATAAAATACAAAATTGGGCTGGGGATGTGGCTCAGTGGTTCAGTGCCCCTGGGTTCAATCCTGGGTACATTAAAAAAAAAAAAAAAAAAAAAAAAAGCACAATTTTTGGAGCTATCACATTTTCTTTACAACTGAATAAATGAAAGCCCTTTTTTTTTTTGACAATTTTCATGTTTTCCGCCTCTGCCATATTTCTGAAAAACTAATTTTTTGAATGCTAGTATCATCATCTATTTTATTTACCTTGTTCTTTTACTTGGCCCTCAAGTATGTATTGCCAATAGCAATGATCTTAGACAAAAAATTCAAGATTCATTTACCTCACTGAAGGCAAATGACAGGTAACATGTTAATTTGAAAAAAAATTGAGTTACACAACTAGAACATTTACATGCAATATAAGATGATTTTCAAAGTTTTGGGGCATTAAGTAGCTTGGGAGAACCTCTTTTACTTGAAATGAACAAATGTTCTCCAGTTCTTTTGCGAAAACACTGATCAGTTAGATGGTAGATGAACACCTAGAACTAGTCGACTATTCTCTTACATAAATTCATAACTCTATTTCCACTGACAATACCAACTTCTACTGCAGACAGTTTCAATGTCAAGGATTAGCTACGTTATTAAAAAAATTACCTATCGTCTTTCTTGACATATTGACCAGTGTTCTCGTCAACCACATGAATTTTTACCATTGGGTGAGAAATCATAAAATCTGATTTAAGTCGATCAGTTCGGTGAATGTAAACTCCCAAGACAAGGTCATCATCAAGCAAGCATTTGGGATAAACTGGACTATCACGGCTTGTTATTTCATGAACACCATCACCATCAATGTCTTCATTATCATCTGAAACTACATGTATAGAAGAAAATCAATATTATAATTAACTAGCCTCATATTTGAATTTACATATGATTTAAACCTTATGATCTATGATTATTTCACATGGTTAACAAAGGAACTTCAAGGGAAAAGAAGTAAAGGCCAGAGAGCAGTAGAGCACACATAGAGTAAAATATATTTACTAATGCATTATATTATAGCAGGGTGAGTAATGTTTTTTCCCAACAAGCACCAATAAGAAAAAATGAGTCGAAACATAATTTTATCTATTTTCTTTGTGTAATATATTTCATTCAAATAATTTATAACTGGAATTTCTGCTTTTGGGTAGAATGTAGTAGGATGCAGCAAGTCAGTGCTTCAGAAAAAAAAAACAACACAAACAATTGCAAAAATCTTATTTTAAGAGAGAAAGTGGGTATGGGGGGGGGGGGCGCGGCCAAGACTGACTCAGTCAGAGGTAAACAGACAGAATGGCAGCTGCTTTTGTCTCTGGAATATTTGCTGATTCAGGGTGTGGGCTGAGAATCAAGATTTGGTCCAAGCAGAAAGAAGTTCACCAGCAAAGTTTTCAGTGGTTTCCTGTGAATAAAGCGATAAAACTGGAAAACGGAGAAGCCTTAAGCACATGGCCAATTTGCCTCACAAATTGAATTCTGGGAGGGTGGAGAGGTAGTGAAATCTTCTGGTGCTAGGTGGTGCTAGCAGAACATATCACACTAGGGGAAAAGGTCTGAAACAAAACAGGCAGGCAAAGAGGAAAGCCTAGGTTTGGTCAATTTTCAATGGATGATAGAAACCCATAATAAAAAGATAACTAAAAAATCAATTGCTGCTCAAAACTGAACAACAGACTTCTAAATAATATATAACCAAATAAATTAAAATAAAAATATAAAAATTTTGTTTGGTTGAATGATAATAAAGATGCAGAATGTCAAAAAATTTTAGGGACACAGCTTAAGGCAATACTTAGGTAGAAATTTGAAGTTTTACATGCCTATAAAAGATAGACTAAAATCTTTCTTATAAAATTCATCTTATGAAGCTAGAAGTAAACAGCAAATCAAACCCAAAGAGAGTACAAATTATACAAATAGAAGAAAAAATAGTATACAAATGTACAATAAAAAAATATCAAAGCTACAGGCTGAGTCTTTGAAGACTCAGACCCAAAATCCTTGAGTGGATCAAAAACTGAGAAAAAAACAAACGACAATATTATGAATGAAAAAAAAAATGGTACAACCTTCTATATGCTATATACATTCAAAACTTGAAAATTTGAATTAAGTGGACATATTCCTTAAAAAATATATCCTAACAAAGTTGCCAGAAGAAATAGAAAATGTGAAGACTCTGATATGTAGTAAAGAAACTAAATCTGATTAAAATTCTTCCTATAAAGAAAACCTTTAGTCTAAAATATTTTATCAATAAATTCTTCTAAATATTTAGAAGATATTTTATCAGTAAATTCTTCTAAATATTTAGATATTTTCTCCAAAAACTGAAAAAGATGAAGCATTTCCCAATTCTTCTAAGACAACCAAAACTTTTATGTCTAAATTCAGGGCATTTTAAGAAAGGAAAAGTACAACCAATCTCACCACCACAGATATAAAAATACAAAGTAATGGCAAGCCAAATCAAAAAAGAGATTTGGAGGGAAAAAAAAAAGAAAATCCATCACAACCGAGTAGGTACCTTCAACCCTCCCAGGAACACAAAGATGGCTTAATATTTAAATAACAGTTAACCACACTTATACAAAAAAAGGTGAAATTTATATGGTCATGTTGATAAGATGATCACATATGTACCTGACAAAATTCAAAATCAATTCATGATAAAGAAAAATAAAAGACTTTGCAAAGCAGAAGTAACTTCTTTAATCTGATAAAGGGTATTTACAGATAATTCACAGCAAACATCATACTCAATGGTGAAAGAGTTTTCTGTCAAGGCTGGTAAAAAAAAAAAAAAAGAATACTTGTTTTTGCCACTTCTGTTTAAGATTATAATAGAAGTCCTAGCCAATGCACTGAGAAGAAGAAGAAAAAAAGAATAAGATACAATAACTGAAAAAGCAACAATAAAACTACCATTACTAACATATTAATGATCATACATGTAAAAAATTCAAAATAATCTAAGAATAAACTGTTAGAAGTAATAAATAAATTTAGCAAGATTACTGGGTACTATGTTTAAAATTTAAGTACATATGAATAGAAACAAATGAATAAGAAACATAATTTTTTAAAAAATGCCTTTTACAGTATTATTAAGTAATATCAAATACTAGGAATAAATCTACAGAAAGACTGCCAAAATTTATAATATTATCAAGATAAATTTTATAAGATACAAATACATGGAAATGCATGCCAAATTCATAGATTTCAAGATAAATATTTCTAAAAATGCCAAGTCTACTCAGAGAGTTGGTATATTGTGAATCTTTTAGATTTATCCAGTTTAGATCAAAACTGAGGTTGGTTGGCAGGATTAAAGTGGATAGGAGGAGGGAAATTGAGACATCACTTGTAAAATTCACATGGAAATGCAAAGAGTAAAGAATAGTACAGATAATACTGAAGAAGAAAAAAATCTGTAGTACACTACTAAATATCATGACCTATTATAAAGTTATAGTAATTAAGGTATTTTTTATACAAACCAACTATGTGACTGAGTAGAGGCTATAAAAACAGATCCACATTTAACATGTTCTTGTTATTTATCATAAAATTGACACTGCACTATAAAGAGAAAAAGATAGGCTTCAGTAAATAATTACTATGTCAATTATATACTCACGTGAAAAAAAAGTCTTGATCTAGTAGTTAAATTAAAAAACAAGTGTTTAAAATGTCTTGATCTAGTAATTACATTTAAAAACACTTGTATTAAATTAAATTAAATTTAAAAAACACTTGTTTTTAACTACTAGAATCAAAAAATATCAATGGTATCCTCAAATGACTAAAAACCATAAATTCTAAAATTGTCTATTTTCATCCCCAAAAAAATCATACACAAAATCAATTCCAGATGAACTATAATCCTAAGCATGAAAAGTCAAACAGTAAAACTTTTAGCAAAACATTTTCAGGACTTAGGGAAGATTTCTTAAACAAATCACAGACAGCTCTTAACCATCAAAGAAAAAAATTAGGGAAACTGGGTAATATAAAAATTTATTTTTCAAAAATTACTAATAAGAAATAATGAAGCCTAGAGTGGGAACATATTTGCAACTATTTGTATATATTTATATCTGAGAAAAGACTCATATCTAGGTATACAAAATAGTGTCACAGATCAATCAGAAGACAATTATTTTGTTTTAAAATGCATAGAAGACTTGAACAAATTTATAAATGTGAAATCCAAGTAGTTAATAAACATGAAAAGAATCAACATTACTAGTTTTAATTGGGATCAGGCTAAGGTCAAGGTTAATCGGGATATATATTATTATATATCCCTAAGAATGATTAAAAATTCAGAGGTCTAACCAGGTAGACACCAGGTACATGTTGGTGAAGATGTGGAGCAACTAGAACTCTCAAACACTGCTAGTGTCTATTGGTAAACCAAGCAAGGAAAATAGGAAGTAATGATTAGAGCAACAATATACATAAACTACTACATAAAAGCACAGCAATTCCAAGACTGTGCTCAACAAAAATGTATATATATATGCTCACAACAGATGTGAACAGAGTGTTCCTTTCAGCTTTACTTGTAATTGCCTAAAACCAAAAACAACTCAAATAACCATCAATAGGTTAGGTAAGTTAACTGTGGTATATTTACACAATGGAAATCTATACTGTACAAAATCAAGAACTGAGAATGTATAAGGTCAACTGTCTTTACTGCTGGTTTAATTTACAAAAATAACACTGAGTTAAGAAGTCAGGCACAAAAAGCACGTTTATAATTCTATTTGTATCAATGTGCAAAAATGATCTGTTAGCAAACAGGGTAGTGGTTATCTCTGCAGAGCAATAAAGTGAAAGGGGGCCTGAGGAGGGTGTCTGAGGACTAATAACGATCTGTTTTTTGATTTAGATAACGAGTTTATAGGTAAGTTCAGTATGTGAAAATTCACTAAGAAGTACACTGTGATACATATACTTTTCTGTATGTATATTGTACTTCGACAAGTGTTTTAATTTAACTACTAGAATCAGAAAACATCAATGGTATCCTCTAATGACTAAAAAAACATAAATTCTAAAATTGTCTATCTTTGTCCCAACGTTTTACCAATTACATGGGATTGGGGAGAAAATAGAATAACAGGTAGGAAAAGGGCAAGAATATACAAAGAAAAAGGAAAAAAAATCAGAAAATGTAGAGACAGAAAGCAAGAGTGGGAAGGGAATTTGGAAGAGGAGAGAGCAGTTGAATTAGGTGAGGAACCAGGTGGACACCATGTTTAATACAGGGACACAACCTGAATATCTGAAATATTTTTTGACTGTTGACCATTTCTATCTTTCACAACAGAGTCTTAACCACTTAGGGACTCTAAACTCAATGGTTTAAAGAAGAAATTCTCTATGCCACAAAAGTAATGACAACGTCTGTATTATTCTAGAGTTAATTAAATTAAGAACTCAAAATGACTCAAGTACTACAAACCCATCACAGCAACCTATAATTACAAATGAATGCTTTTAATCAAGATGAATCCAGAACAAGTACCAAATATTATACATGTGATTATTTTAAACTATATCTTTAGGCTTAATTTTAAGAACTAAAATTCCTAGAGTCAAAAGCACACCATTTTTCATTTAATTAGTGTAACAAACCTGCTTTAGTCTTCTTTTTTGTCTTTTTTGGTTTGGATTTTGTGTTATCTGGCATATTATCATCTGCATTTTGTTCCACTGAGCTTATTTCATCATCTTGATGAGAATCTGAAGTAATGTTTCCAACTGGCGAGTACTTCTTTTGTTCATCTTCAACTGTGTCATCAGAGATGTTCAATGTGCTGCAAATATAAACCAAATACAAGAAATTACAAATATATTAATATTATAATAATCATTATTCATTGTAGAACAGAGTGAATGGTAAACAGAAGCAAGGATAATATTAAAATTGTTGTCTTCTGCTGGAAGATGCATGTATTTTCTTATATAACAATCAGACATCAAACTAGGTATTATAGGGACTATTTTATGCTTGGTGAGGAATTATATACCCCAAGGGTCAACACATCAAGCTCTAAACCCCAGGGGAAAAAAATGAAATAATCTTTTATGAGCAATAGACCTGTCTTACATAGGACCACTGATGCCAAGTAAATAATTAATGAACTTCTAAATCACTTCGTGTAAAGGCAAAAAAAAAAAAAAGTAGTATAAGTCTGTTCTGTTTTCAAGAGGTTTCAGATAAATAACTTTTGGTTTCTAGGTAAGAACTAATTCTGTGTGTTTTCCAGTGTGACTATATTTTCAGAAGGCTATCATTAAAATAAAAATCTGCATCATATAAACCAATAAATGATAAGAGAGAGCAGCCAAGAAGTATACCAAGTTTAGAGAAGCTGGCCTATGAAAGTTTGTTTGCAACTATTTAAGGATAATAGCTACCCTTTGCATACTATCGTCATGTAAGACATGGTTTTAATTAAAATTTGTGAAATAGTTCTACTTTATAGTAAGAATGGCTTTCTAGCTCTACATCAAAAAAGCTATGAAAAAAAGGAAGATTCTAAAAATACTGTATTTACAGTATTTTTAGCAGCCTTTATGATTCCTGTGTCTTCATAATCATTTCTTTGTATAACCCCCTTCTCTTTAAGTGTGAGAAGTAGTGGAGTCACCCAATACTACAAACAGACTGTGACTTCTGTCTTGCTCTCACTCCCTTGGATCCCTTGCTCTGGGGAAGCAAATGGCCACATTGTGAGTAGCAAACATAGAGAGGTTCACGTGGCAGGGCAATGATGTCTGGCTGAAAGCCAGTCAGGACCTGAAATCTGCCAACATCCGTATGACTGATCTTAGAAGCAGATCTTCTGAGGCCTTCTAATGGCTATGTGCACTGGCAGATTGTCCCCATCAAGACTAGCGGTAGCTTTAGGCCCAGCTAACATCCTGACTCCTACCTGTGACAGACCCTGTGAGACTCAGGGGCACCCAGTGAAGTTATTTCCAGGCTCCTGAAACCACATAAACTGAGAGAAAATAAGTGTTTGTTGTTCTAAACTGCTATGTTCTAGGGTAATTTTTTAATGCAGCAACAGGTAACTGTTGTAGTATATATATAATATATATACTAACATATCCCTTTAGCAAACTGACTGTCCTTCTCTTTGTTACCACTGGTCCATTAACTTGTGATGATAAGAGGGGAATTACTTTTAGCTGAGGGCTTTAGAGGAAAATGCCGTGGAATGCCAAGGAATAGTCATCTACAGAATGTTCCCACCTGAAGTTGCTTCTAGATGACTGCAGAAAAAAATTATGGCAGGTAAAAGGCATTTTTTAAATCTCACTGTTTTCTCTAAAGAGAGAACCTATAAATATAAATATACTCACAGAAACCCAAATGATATACACAAGCATATATGTATAGTCATTATATATATACATATATATGTATATGTATATATGTATATGTGTGTGTGTGTGTATATATATATATATATATATATATATATATATATAAAGACTGATATATAAAGACTAAATACCAAATTGCCAACAGTGATTATCTTTGAATGATTGTTCTACAATGAGAAAATGTTATTTGTATAATAAGGAAAGTTATATTTATATGTCCAAATGGGCATTTATAACTCAAAAAGGGGGAAGCAATTAGGTTTCTATTATTTATAAGGAGAAGTATGTGGTAAAGATAGAAACTTTGGAGTTAAGCTGCCAAGATTTGGCTCAGCCTCTGTGACTTAAACCTTTTAGTTTCCTCATTAGAAAAACAGAATGATATTACTTTTCTTCATTGGGATGTAATAAGGAATAAATGAGTTAATTTTCATAAAGCTCCTAGCACAAAGTTAAGGTGCTGCATAAGGTCAGCTGCTGTTCTCCTAGTGGCAGTGTCTCCAAATGAAAGATCAAGAATTTTATTAAACTACAGATGTCATGCAAGAGCTGAAAATAAGAATATATTAAAAAAATATGATTCTATGTAAAGTACCTTGTTTCAGCTTTAGACATGGCTGGAACTCTCTTTTTCTTCTTTTTCTTTTTTTCACTGCTCAATTTGTCATCATGCAATAAGGTATCTGAGGGAAAGTAAGTTAACTGTTCTTTCAGTTTCTTCCTTATTTTCTTCTTAATTTCCTTTGCCATTTCTTCAGCTACCTGGAGCTGGTATGCTTGCATAAGTTCTTCTCCTTCTAAATTATTATTTTCTTTTCCTTCCTTTGTCTTATCACTTTTTTGATGATCAACACTGGACAATGACTTTGTTCTCATTTTCTGATGTGCAAAATCTACCTTCTCAGAAGTTTCTGGTTCCATTTCTTGTGTGGTCTTTGTAATCTTTTTACTTGGCTTTCCTTGCTTGTCTTCCTCTACACTGACATCATCATTTGAATCTTCAGCTGCTGAATGTGTATTCTTTAGTTTGTTTTTAGTGACTCGCATGCTCTTGTCTGGGTTATTAGTGTTAATACAATTTACATTATCACTTTTGGTTTCTTTAATATTCTGAAGACCGCTTTTAACAGTGCCAAGCTAGGGAATAAGACACAACAACAAAGCTTTAGCTAAGGACAGCTGAAGTTTATATAGATAAAAACAATGACTAATGTTCAACAATGTTGAATATTAGGAAGATTATCTTCTGCTGAGACAGAGTGATAATATTGTAGAGCCTTTGATGAGCATTCTCCCAGTTTATGTTCCAGAATTAGACTAGTAATCTCTAAAAGTAACTGGAGATTAAATGAGTTAGTTAATTAACATGGGGAAAAGTCCTTAAGGACTTTTCAGAAATGAATTAATTGCTCAAATTTTAAATGCTGTTTTCCTCACTTGAAAAATGATCCAAACTCTAATCTAATTAGGAGATCAGAAACTACTAAAAGAGTCACTGTGGGTAAAACATTTCTAGTTCCCCAAGAGAAAACACACATGGGTCATTTTTCTTGCTCCATAATTATACTCGAAAACCAAAGTCTTTAGCTCTAAGATTACCCTGTAATGAGTCCAACTGTATAACTAAAACACTGCTAAATGTTAAATATCAAGTTAAATCAAATGTCAAACTAAGCATACAGCTATACTTCTTTCTCCAATAAAATATTATTTGAAATGAGATATTATTTTAATAGGAAAAAAGAGGCTGAAAATCATAAACGAATGTTACTAATTGTAAAACAAGTATTTTGAGAAATTCTCCAAGGATTTAAGTAGGCAAGATTAGATCTATTAAGAAACCATCAGAGAAAAAAACACAATTGATAGGGAAAGACTTCCTCACATACAGGTGGTTCTGGAGAAGCAATTAAGAATCAGAATCAGCTATTCCTAAGAAGCAGCAAATATGCCTGAGGACAACCTATTATTGAGGAGCTGGAATGGACAACTCTTGTGGTAGCTCACCCAGAGGATTAAGCAGTTGAGCATAAAAAGAAAGGGTAGCATGCTTCAGGTAGGCACACCCCACAAACAGCAAAAGCAGACTATGTTAAAAACAAAAAACAGGCAGAGGAAAGATTCTCAACATAAAGACAACCGGACAACTAAAAACTAACAGACACTAAAGGAAAGCAGTATAATTAAGGTGAGCCATGAAATCCAATGAAAGAGAAAAATGAATACCAAAGGAATATAAATAGTATAAACTAGTAAGAATTTAAAATAGGCATCATATTAAAGAAATACAAAAGAATGTTGGGTGAACCATAAATATTAGAAATAAAATTCTGAGTGACAGAAATAAAAACTTAATAGATGCAATGAAAATCAGAATGGACAAAAGCTAAAATCACAACTAAGAACTCTCTAAAAAATGGCTATGCTTACTACTGAATACTGAGGCCCAATTTTTAAAATTCTCCATGTTTAAAAGCAGTTAGAAAACATTGATTACATATGAAAAGGAGATAAAAATGCTGAAAGAACACCAAACATAAAGTAGCTCAATACATATTCAACATAGAAAGAAAGGGTAGCATGCTTCAGGTAGGTACACCGCACAAACTGCACAACTAGACTATGTTAAAAACAAAAAAAAAAAAAGGCAGAGGAAAGATTGCTCACTTAAAGTATTTTCCTAATTCTGTCTATATTTAATGATAAATTACGAAGCCATAACTTTTTAAAAAATCTTCCATAATCAGAGCTAATAAAAATTGCTTCCCTTAGAAGGATCCCGAGTTCAAAGCCAGCTTCAGCAACTTAGCAAGGCCCTAAGTAACTCAGTGAGATTCTGCCTCTAAATAAAATACAAAAAAGGGCTGGGAATGGGGCTCAATGGTTGAGCACCCCTGGAATCACTTCCCAATACCAAAAAAAAAAAAATGCCTCTCTTTTAAGAAATCAATTTTCAAATATTCTGTTTTAGAAGTGATATATGCTTTAAACAATAACAATTTTTTAAAAACAACAACAAAACAACCCCTCAAAATTAGAAACCCAAAGTTCATCCTTGATTGCCTTCCACAAAGAAAAAGATTGCTGATCTTTTCAGAAACTTCTCTTTGGTTTCTTTCTATGAATATAGTCATACTTCAATAACACTGAATTTCCATTATGTTAAAATGGGCCATATAGATATCTTTCTTTCTACTTTTTCAGTGAATACTAGAAATGTAGCACCAATATTGCACAGATTGTGAGAATACTCCTAAAGGAAATAGTTGTAAAAAGACATAATCAAGAATTAGACACACAAGAAATATTTTGTGGTCTCAAAAAATTTTTAAAATGAAACTTTGGGAAAACTAATAAGATGAGGCTTGTTTTTTTTTAATACTTTAATTCACTCTGATCCATCAGCCTTTGTACAAATAATATTAATTTTATATGACTTTGTATCTGTCATTGATCTTTTTCTTTGTTCAGTTCTTTTTTAAATAGTACAATAAATATAATTCCCAGCTCTGGTAACATCCTATACATTTCAAAGGATAATAATTATATTTTCATTATTTTTTTAAACACTTTATTTCTTGTGGTTTTGATTTCCTTTTGCCCCCTTATAATTTTATGGAATAAGTTATTTATAAATTATAAACTTGTGTTATTAATTTCTAGTTTTGTTGTAGTACAGTAACAGATGTCTGCTTTGTGGAATTTAATAGCTTCATGGATCTGGTTGTGACTGAATTTGAAATGGCCCAAAGACATTTGCTCATGTTCCTAATTTATCTTTGTCCATTCTTCATCTTTAACTTCTGTGCATCACTTAATATTTTTTTTCTTCAGTGTGTCTGCTTTTAAAATTATTCTGAAAAAAAAAAGATTTACCAAAAATTCACTACTTTTAAGTATATAAATGGACTTTGGCAAATGTATACTTATATGGTCACAATAATCATGATGTAAGTATTTCCATCACCCTGCATGTCTTTATGAAGTCAACTCCTGAAGCCAGTGTGATGGTGCATGCCTGTAATCCCAGTGACTCTGGGGACTGAGGCAGGAGGATCATAAGTTCAAAGCCAGTCTCCAGAATTTAGCAAGACCCTGTCTCAAAATAAAAAAAACTTAAAAAAATACATTTCCCTAACTCCTAATGACAATGAGAATTTTACATGTTCTTATTTGCTATCCATACCTCTTCTCTAATTTTAATTGGATTGTTTTCATATCACTGAGTTATAACTGTTCTTAAAATGTTCTGTATCAGATGGTGCTTTGAAAATATTTTCTTTCAACCCAAAGCTGATCCTTTCATTTTCTTAGCAATGTTTTTAATTTTTGAAAACCTCAATTTATCTCATTTTCTTTTTATGTCTTATGCTTTTATATCCAGAGCAAGGATACCAAGGTTTTATTCTGTTTCTTCTATAAGTTATATAGCTTTGGTTCTTATATGTAAGTCTTTGATCCATTTCTAGCTATTTTCCAAACAAGATATGGTCACAATTTATTTTATTGCATATAGATATATGATTATTTCAGGACCACTGTTGAAAAGTTTTTCTTTTCCCTTACTGAATTAACCTTGACAATTAAGAATTAAGTGACCAGAATGGGGTGTAGCTCATTGGTAGAGCACGTACTTAGCATGCACAAGGCCCTGGGTGCAATCCCCAGTACAAAAATGAAGGAAGAGAGGGAGGTAGGGAAGAAGGAAAAAATATAGGAAGAACTGAGTCCATTTCTAAAGTCTATTCTGCTCCATTGATACATATGCCTATCTTTATGACAATATCAAGCTGTCTTGATTACTACAGCTCTACTATGGGTTTCTATTCAAACTGTGTAACTTCTCCAATTTTGTTCTTTTTAAAATTGTTTCATTATTCTAAGTCTGTTGTTTATATTCCCAAATAAATCTCGTATTTAGATTTCCAATTTAAAAACCTGCTGAAATTTTGATTAGTATTGAACTGAATCAAAAGATTTTCAGAGAATGGATATTTAGCAACACTGCTTCTTCTAAACTATGAACAGGATACCTATTTAAGCAAATCTTTATTGTTAGCACTTTGGGGCCTTTCAGTATATACACTGAATATAAATGTAAATATACATAAAATTATTCATTATACTCCCTTATTATCCTTTTAAAATCTATAGCATATAATGACTTTCCTCTCAGATTCCTAATATTGGTAATTTGTGTCTTCTTTCCTTTTTCCTGATAGATTTAATTAGAGGTTATGCAGGAGAAAAAAAAACTCAGCAGACTTCAGTTGCTAAAATGCAGCAAATTTCAACATCTTGCACATTTTTGATGCATTTATCCTTGAGTGCTATGTATATTCCAGATCCTTTTTCTATATTTAAGATGATCATATGGTTTTCTGAATTAGCCTTATGAAATGAATTCCAGTGAATAGTTTTTCTAACACTGAACTGACAATATACTCCTAGAAGTCATTTTGTATTATCTTTTTTTGTAAGAATGAGTTCCTAATATTTCATTGATGATGTCTGAAGCTGTGTTCCTTAGCAATATTGGTTGGTAATTTTCTTGTAATATGTTTCTAGTCATGGTATCAGGATAATGAGTGTTTACAAGAAGGAGTGGAGAATTAGTTTAGCCTGTTAAAGAGCTTGTATAGAATTGGTATTAATTCTTACTCAAATGCTTGGTGAAATTTACAATGAAGCCACCTAGAATCACTTTTATTTGTGAAGTTTTTATCTATTTCTTTTAGAGGGAGCTTTGGGAGTTTGTACACTGCATGTAATTTATGCATTTCATCTCAGCTGCTAAATATATGGTCAGAAAATCATACATGATACTCCCTTATTATCTTTTTAAAATCTATAGCATCTACAGTAACTTTCCTCTCAGATTCCTAATATTGGTAATTTGTGTTTGTTTTTTTTTTTTTTCTTTTTTCCTAATTAATCTGGTTACAGGTTATGCAGGGGAAAAAAAAAAAAAAAACCTCGAGACCAGTTGCTAAAATGCAGCAAATCCCAAATAAGATCCATTTTTGGGACCAGCTGTAGGTAGGATCCTAAAAACTGAGCTTTGAGTTTCTGGAATGTTATGTGTGATAAGACTGCTTTTATATGCCTAAAGCCTTGGGCAACACTGTACCAATTTG